TAATAATACCATCATTATTTCATATTTTTTCTGGGCATCCAAGTAAACAGAGTTTCCGCGGTAACCTCTGTACCCATCCCTGTAAAACCAGTCACATTCAACAACATTGGGCCCCTCCACTCTTTTACAAAAAGGCCGGATAGCCTTTGAATGTTAGTGCTCTGTATTAGTATGTCTTTATCTCCTGTTAGATCTGTACCTGGAGGGAGTTCATTCATAGCATATTGTATCCTGTGTGTTCATAGAACATTTAATTGCATATTGTTATTCCTTGCATTATACATTCGTGTTTCTTGTACTTGATTGCATATTTCACAATAACCTTCACGTCGTGTAAATATAATTATAGGCCTAGTATAGTCATTGTTATTCCTTGCATTATATAAAATATTCGTGTTTCTTGCACTAAATTATTCATTGAGAAATAAGCAACTTAATTAGTCTTGAACAATGTATCATTCGCAGTAGACTTAATAACCTAATATTCCCAAGATGTAAAATAGTCTTACGAAATTTAATCTGGTCAATGCTACCACATTCTATGTGCAGATGGGAATGGGTGGCGGCATGTTTGCCAGCTTCTATTTCCAGGCATTATGAAGTAAAATATTTCCAACATAGACTCTATCTCCATGCTAACTTTATTTTTTCTGGCTGCCCTTTGAGGGAAGGGGCTAGCGGCCCTACAAGTTGTCAGCATCTATTTCTGGGCATTCAGAGTTGCAAAAAGTGTTGTTCAACAACCATCTTGGGGCTGGAGTAGATGCTCTCAGACCCCACTAATTTTAATTTTAAAATCTTGTATCCGTGGATAGGGGTAGCGGGTCTTTTTACAACAAAAATTGTTAAGTACCCCACCCCACGCTCTGACTATGGCCGGACCACATGCAAAATGCTTCCGACGGCTATATGACATTAGTATTGCTTTCATTAGGCGGCGGGGGCGGGGAATTTAGCATAATCCCATCAGCCCTTGGCCTAATTTGATTTACATCACTGGTCACACTGACGTAGATTAAAATGACTAACGTTAGACGACTGCAATGTGAATGAAAAGGAGATTGAGTATTGTACGATAGCCTACAGTAATACATAATATGAATGTTATTTGATGTCAATTAAAATAAATACCGGTACATAAATAACATCCAAACAGATAAACAAATGAATAAATTAAAACAAATGTACAAATATATATAGAAAAATAAAAAATGCACAAATAAACAATATGAATAAAGAGAAAAGCAAACAAATTAACAAGCAAATAAACATAAAAAATAAACAAACATACACATATGTCACTAGGCCTATGCTAGATCGTGGCCCTAGGTCTAAACCTTTCGTCAGCAGATCATGGTCAGACCTTGTTGCTTGCGCGAAAAAAATGCAACCCTTTAATTAAAATCAGCGATTCATCGACGATTCACCTGTTTCATCATCGAAGATTCGCTTGTTTCATCATCGACGATTCGCTGTTTCATCATTGACGATTCACTTGTTTCATCATCGACGATTCACTTGTTAAGTTCATCATCGATGATTTGTTTCATC